CCCGCAGGGCTGGTATCTTGTTTTCCTCCAGCATAGTCTTCAGGGAGATGATAATGGGGATGATGTTCTCTATGAAGTTCCTCTTCTGGACCTGCGGTAACAGAGACATGGCTTAGATTCACAAACTTCTGAAAAGATAGAACACGTCCCCCAACTGATTCTGCGAGCCAACCTAGCACCATGAGCCTGCCATCTTGGCCGTGGCACTGGGCACGGGCAGACCTCCTGCTTTTCTGAGAACTCTGGAGCACTACAGCGAGTACCTGGATGAGGTGTGAGCGGGACACAGGTAAATATTACACATTTTCTACACAAGGAACCAAGGTAAGAAGTGTGACCAATGACAACAAGCTCCACGCCCCTCCTCCCCCAGGCCCTGAACTCCAGCTCCATTTGCAGTTGTTCCCTTCAGCACCTTTCCCTCTGCTGTGGGGCAGATACTCTGTGCTCCTGAGGTGAAAGGACAGTCTGAACACACGAGGACGGCCAGCACCATGTGCTCGAGAGGAGAGGCAGGTGAGCGTCAGGCAGCTTGAATGCCCCGTGGAGGGGCCCTGCATGGAGGTGGCGGATGGGGATGAGAGGGGAAGGAGAGGGCACTGCAGACAGAAGAGCCAGCGCCAGAGCCATAGCAGCAGTGTGTGTCACGCACAGGGACTAGGACCAAGGGTTGCTGCTGCCAGCGGGACGGCAAGGGAGGTTGGGGAGGCGCCACCAGTGGGAGGGCAAGGGAGGCTGGGGAGGCGCCTAGCGGGAGGGCAAGGGAGGCTGGGGAGGTGCCACCAGCGGGAGGGCAAGGGAGGCTGGGGGGGCGCGGGGCCAGGCACACTGAGAGTTGTCTCAAGGAGGCTTAGGCTTTTATTCTGAAGATGTGGGAAGATCCTTTGCAACATGGTTTGTAAAGAATGCTCATGAGATAAAACACATATATCCACGATGAATTTCTCTATCCAGAGAGAACACACCAGTAAGCTCTCACTGAAGGACACACCGGGCAGTCAGTACCGCAGGTCACCTGCATCCACTGGCCTCACATGCCTTGCTGCCCCTCCCTCATGGTCTTTCTGCTTCTAGTCCACTTTAAGCAGGAGAATACAATGTTGCACTCATACTTTAGAAAGACTGCCCTGGCAGCAAGCCATTTCACAGCCTGCAGCAGAAAGAACTAAAGTCAGACATGATGGTGCACGACTGTAATCCCAGCACTTGGGATGCTGAGGCGGGAGGATCTTGAGTTCAAGGACAGCCTGCACCACACAATGAAATACTGCCTCTGAAAACAAAGCTTAAAACAAAACAAAGAACGAACGAACAAACAAACTAGAGACAGAAAGGGTGCTAAAGAAATTACTGGGAATAGGACAGGCCTGACAGGTCAGAGCCGGTGGGCATGCAGAGAATGACCCACAAGATCACGTGGGCAGGACTGGCAGTGAGCCTGTGCCATCTGCTCCTCCTCGGGTCAGGTGGAAAGCAGCGATGCGCCCTTCGAACTGCGCACCAAGAATTCAGGACCTGGCGAGGCCCGAGGCTAGGTGGGCTTTCCCCGTCAATCCAACTGTACCCACCTACCCAAACAGAATCGCCTGGCCAGAGGGACTCGCGTTCTGCTGTAGCACCAGGTGCCCCTCTGGACAGTGTGGTAGATAAATCAGAAGGAAGAAGCAAAGAGCAGGAGAAAAAGGGGATCAGGACCAGTTTCCATAAGGAGCTGGAGCCAGAAACAGACCTGCAGTTCCCCGTGCTGGGGAAATGACAGCAGGAGCCCAGGCACAGCCGCCGGGAAGCGCGGCAGGAACAGCATGGGCGGGCAGCGCACGGACCTGAGAGATGAGCTGCTTCTGCGCTTCCTGCATGACGATGTTGGCCAGGGCCACCTCATCTTCCTCAAGGAGCAGGAGGTTGTCCGGCTTGGCTCTCATTGCCAAAAGCTTGATCTCTTTGGAGCTGAGGACCTCAAAGGTATCGGACAGTAACTCGCTGGCTTCCATGTCTAGAGGGAGCACGCCATCAGCGAAGCAGGCTGAGGAAGGACCAGAGAGCACCTCCTGTGAAACTCCCACCAGGGCAGAACTCACAGCACTGGGGCATCGGGGCCGGGAGCGGGTCCTGCGAGGGGTCCCCTGGGGCCATAGCTGTTGGGGCACGGAGGGTGGGTCTTCCTGCAGCTCGCGGCCGATCTGCGGGCCTGCGAGCGACTCCCATTTACCCCAAGCACGCCGCGCATACCCAAAATGCTGAGGCAGATTTTGGAGGTGATATTGAACCGCTGCTCATCCGTGAAGTGCTCCAGAAGAAACTTGTAGAGTTTCATTCGGCTCTGTTTGTTGGTCTTTCCCTTCAGTGAAAACAGCTGCTTCTCTCTGTGCCAGAAGGGACAATTTCACCACCACGTGGGCACAGCAGGAAAGGCAGAGCAGCGTAGAGAGCGCTCCCGGCAGGGCGCGCCCGAAGCCAAGGAGCCCTGTGCGTCTGGGCACTTGCGCTCTGGACTCTGGCCGGGCCTGCCCACCCTGGCACGGCAGCCAATCCCCACACCCACGCGGCTGCTGCACTGACCGCTCTGACTGGGGGAACTTGTTGTACTTCTCGTGCTTCTCGTAGCTGTTGAAGTGGAAAATGCACTCGATGAAGTGCTGGAAGAACATGGCAGGGGTCCTCCTCAGTAGCAGGTGAGCCAGGCAAAACTCCCCGAAGCTGCAAGAGGGAGGGGCGCAGGGATGAGACCCACCTGCTGTCCACAGCCAGCCTCTCCGAATGCACCAGCAATGCCGGAGAAGCAAGCAATGGCATGGAAAGAGGCTTCTAACTTATCCCAATAAGCGGATTCATCAGCTCAAAAGCAAGGCACTCGGGGAGCGGGAGGCAGGAAGACTGCATGCTTGAGCCCAGCCTGGGCAACTTACTGACTTAGCAACACCTTGTGTCAAAACATAAAATAAAAAAAGGGCCGCAAACGTGCATGGCTCAGTATGAGGGCCCTCCGTTTAATCCCCAGCACTACAAAGAAAACAACACAACTAGCTAGGAAGAAGTTCCGCTTCTTTTGCCTGTTTCCTCCTCAGCTTCCTTCTGAATCCAAGGTAAATGTAAATTTTTCATTCTATAGTTTCCTTTTAAAATTCTAACAAAATGTGACTCTCCAGCTACACTTCTGGGAGAAAAATTAAACAAGCAAACTATCCCAAACTGAGTACAGGTCATGGCAACTGCCTCTTGAAAGTAAACCCTGGGGCTTCCACTCCTGAACTTCAAGTTTTTGTCCACAATGAGGAACAACAGCCAAGGCTGGTGGCCGGAACTTCAGAGGAGGCGGCTTATCAACAAGACCTTCACAGTTTGGGTCGACGGGACAGGTAGAGCACACTCCACAGAACAACCAAGGGCACCACGCTCGGGAATCCCCTGCTGTAGTGGTAGGAGACAGGAGCCTGATGTCCCTAGGGAGCAAAGGGCACGTGCTGACTCTGTAAATTCCACTAGGCTGGGACACAAGGTCATAGACAACAGCGTTTCCTGGAGGCGTCCTATTTTTTGGTCCTTCTCCTGAGGTATTCTGGGCTACCATTGTGTGAACTTAAAGAGTTTGGTGAACGTCTGAAGGTAGTAGAGATAGTTTGTACCCACAAAATTAGTTATGCACATTCCTTAGCCTGCTTTTAGCCCTCAATAAATGTGACACGTTTCAGTGGCTGGGGCTCAAGTGCAGCGAGACCTCTGAGGCTGTACTGATCCAGTCTTCCGACTGATGGCAGACAACACCCAGCAAGGCCCGGCGCCCTCCTTCACCTGGCCCCTGAACCCAGCAGAGGCTCCCAACACATCTGCCTGATGTTTCACGCTGGACAAATGCCACCAAGACTACACGAGAATGGAGAGAAAGAAGCTAGTATCTTCAGAACTAAATGGGAAGGACGAGAAAGGAATTGCTGACCATTTCTGCTTCCCCGTGACAGCAGATGAGACGATGCCCTGGGCTTGCTCAGGCGCCCAGCTGAGGAGGGCTCACTGCAGCTCATTCACTACCAACGCTGTGGTACCGCCTTCCCAGGGGCAGCTCTCCCCTAGACGGAGCACAGCCAGAAGGACCCACAGACGGCTGCGGCTGGGTCTGGAACACGTCGGACCCACCTTCCTTCCCCGAGTGGGGTGCCACAGGGTGAGTGTCAAGTCCGGCAGGATTCCCAGCACACACCCCAAGAAACGCTCAGAGAAGGCGGTTCGGAAACCACAATGGAAATAGCCTAAAAAATCCTCGCCACAGACAGAATATCTTATTTTTAACTATTTGGGTAGGATGTAAGGCAGAAGCCTGAGTTTGAAATACAGAAAGAAGACAATTGCACTTCTATTGAGAACAGAGAATTCTGAAGAACTCACATAAGGGCAGCCAGAGGCACCGTTTGACCTGAGAAGGTTCAGTGTATTCTTGACAAACTGTTGCTTAGCAATGCCAGCGTGAGAAGGAAACAAGTCGCAGCACCTGATGTTCCTTCTAAACAATGGTTACTTGGCGAAGCATCTCTGTGTTTAACAAAGTAAACCAGAATTCTCCATGTTCTCTGACCAGAATGGACAAAACCATCACATAAGGAGAAGCTGACAGGTTCTGGCCCTAGTATGAATTGCTGAAATCATCATGGTGGCCATCTAATATGGCCGATGCCCTTAAAACAAAAGCCCGTCTTCCCAAGACCACCTCCCGCCTCTTCTCCAACTTAGCCCAGGGCATAATTTCCTTCCACCCTTCCCGCCACCTCAGGGAAGACCCCCCATCAGCCCCTCAGGTGTATCTAAACAGCCCCTCCAAACCCCACCCTGGCAAAGGCCATAAAAGCCTCAGCCCCCCCCCCTTGTTCCAAGCGAGAGAATTCCTCATCCTCCCCACATTCTCTTCCGGGTCCTCCCACATTCTCTCCTGAGTCCTCCCCACATTCTCTCCTGAGTCCTCCCACATTCTCTCCTGAGTCCTCCCACATTCTCTCCCGAGTCCTCCCCACATTCTCTCCCGAGTCCTCCCCACATTCTCTCCCGAGTCCTCCCCACATTCTCTCCCGAATTCTCCCCACATTCTCTCCCGTGTCCTCAAAGAAAACGAAGCCCCTTTCCCTTCTCCCTTCTCCCTGTCTCTCTGCTGCTCCAAGCACCTATCACAAGCAGCCTCTAAGGAATGCACGACTCTCTGTCCTGTGGTCAGCCTGCGTGGCACAGCAGTTTAAGGTCGACCTTGGTGTTCTTCTCCTCAGACTTTGCCATGTTTTTGAAAGTGTAAATCTGCAATGTGTGCAGAGCTAGTGTGAGCTTCGACTTGGTGGCGAATGTTCATATACTCAGTCTAAGTCAAGACCAGACTAGCAAAGACAAGCAGGGAGGAGACAAGCGCAGCAAGCTGCGGCCGCACACGCAGCCCTCTGGCGGTGGCTGAGCACCGGACATTTGCATTTCTCTGCAGCGCTGGCACTGCGTGATAAACAAGTGGGTTCTGGGCTGCAGTTCGGGCACTGGGTCTCCAACAGGTTCACCATCACCACCGTACAGTCTGTATCCTACTAGGATACTCAGGGTCTTCAATGCCTATACAAAGGAGCTCAACTGTTTTTTTTTTTTTTTTTTTTTGTACTTTACTGCAGGGTCTACAGGGACTAGAGTCTCACAACACAGGTCAGACTTGTAGTGATTCTGTTTTCGGCTTCCCAAGTGCTGGGAGTACACGCATGTGCCACCACGCCCAGTCTCAGTCACTGTCTCAGTGAGACCATGGGGGTGGCGCCGGCATGACAGGCCAGGGAGCGAACCACCAACCTCTGCTTCTGCTTACACAGGCGCTTCAATCCACCGAGCTATTTGGCCAGCCCTTTCAACTGACATTCTAACTTTCTATTTTCCCAACTTTGTGGCCTGCAGGGATCCTACACTAGCACATGCTGAACCATATCTCTACACTGGGTATCGAACTCCACCTACCTGTCTAGCCATCAGGCTCCCTGACCCGTTCCATCTGTTCTTCATTTTCACTACATCCTCTAGCTGGTTAAGTACTTCCTGTGTCTCCCAACCAATCATCTGGCTTGTATCCCTTCTCTTCCTCCAGGGCACATTACCCTGCATCAGTTGCTTTCTGGTCTTCGTCTTGCTTCTCTCTGGACCCTGCCTCCTTGCACGTGGAGGCAGCTACCCAGTTGTGTGACTTTTATTTAGATGTCCCCAGAACCTCATGCAATCATAGCTGGGACTTTTCGAACATGGCTGGGGCTAGGCTGTCTAACTGTGGATAAGGATCTAAGGTGCTGAATTAGCTTTCTAAGGACTTTTCATACACCAACATCTACAGCCTGGACGGGATAAAGAAGGGAGGCGTGCTGCTGCTGCTTACTGCTGAGCGCCTTCTGCCACCTGGCGCGGGCTGCTGCCTTCAATGCCCCGGGCCGTGCCGCCCTGCCTCTTAGCAGGCTCCACCATCCACTGCCTTTAACTCTGGGTGTTGAACATTCTGTCTCAGCAAGAAAGAAGTCACTAAGACACCAGCGAAGCCACCCACATGTACTTGGCCACTGCCCTACAACTGCCAGATCATAAGGCCTTTCACCTAGATGAGAGGAGTAAAAAGGTCACAGTTCTGCAGCCCCCAAATTTTGATTTCTATGACCAATGAAAAATTTCACACAAGTTTGCTCATGCCAAAGCTTTCAGGAAATACAGCTGAATAAATAAGGCTTACATTGGAAAGCAAATATTAAAAATATGTTAAGGGGCCAGGGAGATGGCTCAGTGGAATAAGCGCTTCCCTGGCAAATGCAAGGGTCTGAGTTCAATCCCTGGTTAAAAAAAAAAAAAAAAAAAAAATTAATGTAAGCAGATAGGCCTGGTCTTTGGCGTAAAATTTGGGGAAGAGACTTATAGTTGGCAAATGTAGTCATCAGCTCTTTGAAGCTGCAAATCCCGTCCGTAAACCCAGAAAGCCAAAAATAAAATGAAAGAACTTAAGGAAGGGGTGCTACAGTGCTAGAAGAAATGGTGGTAACTTAGGGTAGTATGAAGATCTCTTGGTCTTTCAATGTCTCTTTGGTTGGCGCTCTGAGGACTTGTACTCATGGGTCTGTACATTTTTATGCAGTCATTAATATTCCTTTTAAAATGGAATTAATTTACATTTTCTAAAAAATTAATTTTTTAGCTTATACATGGCACCATACAAGTCACATAATTATTGGGGGTCAGGTGACGTTTTAATGTGATGCTTAACAAAGGCTAACAGTACTTATTGCCTCTTTCTAATACAGGTGTGTAGGAACTAACAAAAATGCCCAAAGAAACGAGAAAATACAGGCTCCACGGCCAATCTTCTCTCTAAGGCTCACAACTGAACGCACTCTAGGACTTTCCAGTCATTCTGGCCTGTGAGCTACGCACTGTCCAGCCAGCCGGCCAGCCGCAAGGTCAGTGTCGGGGGACTACGTAGGTAAGAGAAAGCGGTGTCATTATCTTGTCCCTTGCCCAATTATACAAAGAAATACAAAAAGCGATAACCCTGGCTTTGTGCTTCTGGTGCTAGACAGCTTTAATTACAACAGTAACCTTCTACTATTTGATTATGTGAAATGCTCCTCCTTGTACCCAAAGAAAATCTCAGAAATTATTGGTGACCATATTTAGAACCACCAGGACCCATTATTATGTGCCATTTACAGTCAGTGACTCTGCAAAGACCTCCCACTGTGCTAGCTCTGACCATGGCATTCAACGTTCTGCTTTCTGACTGCAGACTTGCTTTCAAAAGAAGAATTCACACCGTACAACTAGGACGCAAATTCTATCAGACTCTTTGAAAGAAATCCTTAAAAAAATGACGCCAGTCATACATCTGCTGTGATTTCTGCTACTTGGGAGGCTGATGCAGGACTCCAAGTCTGAGGCCAGCACGTACAGTTTCGTGACACCCTATCTCAAAATAAAAGGGACTGGGAACCACACAGTGCTCTCAGAGTTTAATCCCCAGTACTGCCCCCAAACAACATGAGGCTGGGAGCCTTATCATCTGTACCTCTATTACACCCTGAAATTGTCTTTAACTCCTAGAATTGAAACTGTCTTAATTCCTGAAATTATCTTCTTCCTTACAATAGCTGCTCTTAAAAGAAAGAATGAATTCTTTAACAAAATTAACATTTTTGGTGAGCTTAGAAATCAACATAGTTATATCAACAATGACCTCCATATGTATTAATATGGCAAAGCACACACTGTCCTTTATTATTCCTTTGGGAAAGGAAATAACATTAGCAAAGTAGCCAATATAGAGACTATTAATGAGTTATTTAATGAGTTTGTTTCACTTTGTTTACAACTTATATGTAAAATAAAGATCTATTATATAGCTAGCTTACCATTTAAAAAATCTGCCACTTACTCAGACACTAACAAAAGCTCACAAAAAGTCAACTTCAAATGAACCCTACATACAGAGGGGAAATCCTGCGCACACCAGAAGTTAGGTCAGCCGTTCAGCTGTCCCACAGAAGGGCAAGACTCACCTGGCAATGTCTGGGTGTGAATCTACCAGGGTGCTCACAAATCGAAAGAACAGAGAGCCTTTCCACTTCACAAATTCTTCCTATACAAAGAGAAAAGAGCACACTGCAGGCTGAGTGCGGAGCCAGGCCCTGTGGCGCCCCCAGCCACAGAGGCCCCGCTCACGGTCCCTGTGTAACAGCGCCTCTCAGCTCCGGGGCTGCCCAGGAGGCGCGGCTCAGCCTGGCAGCGGCCACTTCCCGGCCATTTTGAAAGCAGAGACATGAGTGGGAGTGTAGAAGGACAAGAGAGAGAGGAAAAGCAAACAGAGACGTGGTGGGCCACGCAGGCAAACACGGTACTGTGCTTGAATGTAATAGGACAGAGCCAAGGGCCTCCCCAGGGACAGCGATGAGGAGACGAACATCCAGGACACAGAAGGGCAGGTGCGTAACTTAGTCAGAGGCCTTTTTTAAAACAGAAAACATTCCTTCTTTCTTGTTAAGGGTTATGTCTAGGTGTCCCCCAAGCCTCATGCAGTATGGGGAAGATTTCTAGGCTTTGTGATTGATTCACGATTGAGTGCTGGGATTAAGGGTGTGAGTGCTACCCTGACCCGGGGCAGAGAGCCTGAATGCAACACGAGGGAGCCAGCCTCGCTCTGCTGCCAGTGCGGCTGTCACTCCTCCCCTCTGCTCTTGCTGTCTGGCTGTATTCTGTCACCATGAACTGCTGCCCTCCGCCATGGACCAGTCTGCTTGGGAGCCAGCTTTATATGGACTGAAACCTCCACAAACTGTGAGCTCCGTAAACCTTTCCTTCCTTATTTCTGGGTCTTGGGTATTTTGTCCCAGCAAGGAGAGAAGAGTAACTGAGACGTTCCTCACTAGAGGCCAAATGTATTCCCTGAATGAATACCACGCCACCACGTCCAGGCTCTGTAGAAACTTGTAATTCACTATTTTTTTCACACACTGAAATCTCTCACTGGACTCCCAGAGCAACTTCTGAGATCGCTCACCCAGAACAAATCATTTACAGCAGTGAAGTCTGAGAAACATGAACTTGTTTGAGGTCAAGGAATGTAAGAGGATGGAATGAGAGCTACTTGTCTGGAAAGGGTGTTTTTCTCCACACGGCAGTAGAGCTTAACAATGTTTGACAGGACATCTGAAACATACCCTAAATGCATACTTGCAAGTAAAGATGTGTTTAAAGGCCTACAATGAACACCAGAAACATCCTCATGTTAGAACATTCTAAACCAGAGATGAAACTAATTATTTTTGGATTCTACTGCAAAGCGAGCACATTTCCTGTGCTGATTACATACTCCCTTCAACTGGAAGCACTGGTGGGAGGGGGAGGGAGGGGCCGCCCCCGCCACACGTACTTGCAGAAGGTTGGTAAGCAGGACGAGCGTCTGCTTCCGGATGAAGGGGTCGGGGTCCTTGAGGCACAAGGAGACGTGGGGAATGTACTTGTCCACCAGGGCGGTGTAGCGCATGCAGAGGTCGCTCAGCACGATGACCACGTTGTTGCGGACGGCCGCGTCCTCACACACCTCGAGCTCTCGCACCAGGGCCGGGATGCTCTTCTTCGCGAGGTCCTCATTCTGCAGGCACAGCTTACCTACCGCGGAGAGAACAAAGCGTTTCACTCCATGCTGCAGAAAGTGAAAAAAAGTCAGCAACAAAAAAGAGAAGCAGATAACAATGATCCTAAACATTATGAAGTCTGAGACGGCTTATGGGAGAATAAACTTCAGCAGGGGTTTTACGAGGTGCATGTTATCAAATATTCCTTTACATGATTAAAATAACCTTTAATAATACCTGGTGGATGATTCACTTTACTTTTTCTGTTTGGGGGCAAGCCTGGGGACTGAGCCCGGGCAGGGCCTTTACGCTGAGCTAAGCCCCGAGCCCTTTTTTATTTTGAGACGAGACCTGCCCAGGTTGGGATCAAATTTGTAATTCTAAACAAAACAAAACAAAACAAAGCAAAGCCAAGCCAAGCCAAGCCAGGCCAAGCCACACCACGCCAAGCCAGGCCAGCACAAGCCAAGCCAAACAAACAAATTAAAAGCAAAATAAAACAAACCCCCAAACTTGCCATCTTTTCCTGCCTCTGCTTCCCAGAGCGCTGGGATCACAGGCATTGTGCCACTGGCCACCTCACTTGGCTTCATTTTACTTTGGATTATACATATTCTCTGAGTACCTTTGAAGGAATATGAAAGACGAGCTAGCTAGGTAGAAGAGTGTCAGCTCATCTGTTCAGTCACCAGGCGAGCTGCTGAGTCTTACCTGTATCTTTGTGCTGTGGCCTACAGGGCAGTACTTTCACGATTAAGAACAATTTGAGCTCATGAAGTAATGTGCTTAGGGTTCATGCACCAATTTGGTAAAGTTGTAAATAAACCATCTCTCTTATAAACCAAACCCCAACTTTTCCATTCCCAGAGCTCAGCGCAGTGACTGAACACAACTCTTGATAAACAGACCTGATGGTGTGACACGGGCTCTGGTGAATTACAGCAACGGGGCTGGGAGGGGAAGCTCAGGGGAGAGCTCTGGCCCAGCCCGAGTCAGGTTCAGGCCACACCCCGTCATTCAGTTAGTAACTGCACTGAGTGCACACACGTCTCCTGGCTAGCTGTATTGAGTGCTCTGACCCGACTGGCCTGGGGAGTCACCACCACAACGCTTCCACTGTTGTTTCTCCTTAATTTTGGCCTTTATCAGCCGCACGTTTGCAGTTAATTTACAATCATGGCGGGAGCGGGCACACGTCCACAGCGCAGCTGGTTTCTTTTTCACTCCCCTTTTCTCCCCCACCCGCCTTTCTCGCTTGCTGGTACCTCTTGTGCTGTCTGTGTCCACTGAGGTGAGCAGGGTCCTGCACACGGCTCACCTGTGTCTGCTCGTCTCCCTTCCCCTCCGCCTTGCCCCTCACTGCTGCGCCCTTGGGCCCTTCCATCTCGCAAGATACCTGGCCCTGGTCTCCTAGCCGTCCTTTATTTCTCTCTTTGTTTGTACTTTGCCTCACTCAAAGGAGACAGCACGGTGTATTTAAGCTTGTTCATCTCACTCAGTGTTGCATTTTCCAGGCGCACTCGTGTCCTGCAAATGTCCCAAGTGTGGCCTTCTCTACAGCCAAATGATTTTCCACTGTATAAGGGCACCACATTTATCCAATCGTCTGTTCATAGCTACGCAGGCTGCTTCTAGGATTTAACTATTACAAATCTTACTGCCACAGCCACTGACCATGTATACTGCTGTAGTACGGTGCTATCTTCGGTCCTTTGAGGAAGACACCTACAAGAGCGACGGATGCGGCAGGTACAATTTCGCATTTAGTTCTTCGAGACATCCCCATACCCATTTCTGCAATGGCTGTACCAGGTTATGTTCCCTCCAACAATGAAGGAGGGTTCCTTGTTCTCCACAGCCACGACAGCATTTGTTATTGTTTGATTATTTAATGAGTGCCATTCTTTCTGAAGACAGACTCTTTAGGTTGCTTTAAAGCTTATTTCTCTAATGGCCAGAGATGTGGCACGCTTGACTATTTGTTAAGCATTTGTGCCCCTCCTCCCTGTTAAGTGTCTGGTCATCTTTCTTGTCTATTTCTTGACTGGATCTTAATTTCAGGTGGCTTAACTTCCCAGATCTTTGTGTATTCTAGGTATCAGTCCTCTGAGGAGTAGCTTGTAAAATTTTTCCCTTTCTATAGATTGTTTCTACTGACTGCTTTACTCTGCTGATTCTTTTGCTATGCCAGGTGTTATAATCTGATATAATCCTCTTTGTTAATTCCTGTGCAAATGAAGTTCAGTTTAGAAAATCTTTTCCTACAGCTATGGTTTCCCCAATGTTTTACCTTTTAGTAGGTTTAATGTTTGTTGTAAAGTTTAGATCTTTCATCCATTTTTATTGTACTTTAGTATATAGTGAGAGATATGGGTCTAGTTTCAATCTTCTGCACACAGACAAGTCTCCCGACACTATTTATTGAACAGGCCATCTTTCCTCCAACACACGCTCTGGCCCCTTGTCAAGAATCCAACAGCTGACTGTGCCTGCGGAAGTTTGTTTCCTCAGCTCCGCTGGCTGGCCCATGTGTCAGCTCTTGTCCCAGTACAGTGCCGTTCTTACTCCGAGTGCTTTGACGCACAGCTTGAAGTCAGGTAGCGCGATGCTTCCTGCTCTGCTCTCCTGGGTTCCTTCTGGTTCCACATGAATCTTGGCACTGTTCTCTCTGGATCTGGAAAGTACACTGTTGGTACTTACTGACTGGGACTGCGCTGAATCTGCGTAGGTTCTGGAGCCGGGCCACCTGGCAACGCTGACTGCGCCTATCCAGAGCGGGCACCTCCTTCCATCTTCTCACATCCTCCTCACTCACCTCTCCCATATTTCAGCTTCTTTATAGAGTTCTTTCATTGCTTTGGTGAGGTTAGTACCTAGGTGTTTCATTTTTATTGATGTTACCATAAATTATTTTCATAATTTCCTCCTAATTGAGTTCATTAATGCTATAGATTTTTCTTTTTCTTTTTTTTTTTTTAAATTTAATTTTATTTATTTATTTGAGAGAGAGAGAGAGAGAGAGAGAGAGAGAGAGAGAGAGAGACCAGCTCAGCCCACCAGGGGGCAGGGCTGGCTGGCATGTGGTGCTGGGGGATTGAACCGCGGTCCCTGATGCTTTTGCTAAGCTTGTTCTAAGTAGGTGCTTTAGACCACTGAGCCATCTCTCCAGCCCTGCTATAGATTTTTCTGTGTTGATTTTACATCCTGCTACACTGCTGAAGTTGGATATGAATTGTAAGGGTTTTTTGGTGGAATTCTTTGGGTCTTCTACATAGAATATCATGTCTTCTGCACAAATACTAATTTGAGTTTTTCCTCTCCCGTATATATCCATTTCATTGCTTTATTTTCTTCTCTTGTCTAATTGCTCTGGCTAATGTTTTGAGTAGTATGTTGAACAGAAGAGGTGCTACTGGGCATCCGCATCTTGTTCTTGATTTTAGAAGGAATGCTTTTGGTTTTCCCCACTTAGTATGATGCTGGCTACTGGTTTGTCATACATAGCTTTTACCATATTCAGGTCTGATCTGCTTTCTTCAGGGATTGTATCACGAAGTAGCGCTGGGTTTTGCTGAAAGCCTTTTCTGCGTCTACTGGCACGATCACGTGGTTTTGGACCTTGCTGAAGGCTCTCACTGAGCATTCTATTGTGCTGGTAGACTTGGGGGCTCGTATCTGAACTACCTCCTAAATTCCGAACAGTGAGAGCAGGCACAAGCGCAGCAGCCTAAAACACTACCTGGGCTGGGCTTACTGAAGACAAAAGGGACGCAGAAGCCGGCCACGCACCCTCGCTCCCCCGCACACTGTTCTCACCTAAGGTGATGACGGCGTGCGCTCTGATCACAGAAGGCACGATGGAGCCTCTGACCTGGGAGGGCAGCGGGGCAGCCGGGGCATCTCCGGAACCTTGAGATGGCAGCACTACGAGGAAGGTAACACACTTACTGGCAGGGCTCCGCCTTCGGGGAGCACAGCACAGTCTGACGGCAAGTGCCTTACAGTGATCAAAATCAGCAGAAGAAGCCAGGAAGGACTGGATCAGGAAGAAGACTCGCTTCTCCACTCGCGCTGGACACAACTGGGCGATATCTCCCAAGGTAAAGATGTACTTCACCTGCAAAGACAACTGGTTACGTAAGAATACAGCGAAATGAAAATCCTAGCTAGAGTAACATTTCAGTGAAATATACTTTTTCCTACCTCCCGAAGTATAAAATCTACTACTTTCTGTTTCGGAAAACAACATGGCCATTATGAAACACTCAGTTGATACTTGACAAAACTCATCTGAAGTCAGGGAGACAACATGACTTTCTAATTAAAAGCCAGCCATTTCTATAAACAGTAGGTACTATGATATTACATTGTGATAAGAAGTATAGACTTGGATAATCTTTTTTTTTTTTTTTTTTTTGGCAGAACTGGGAATTGAACTCAGGCCCTTGCACTTGTCAGGGAAGCACTTATTCTACTGAGCCATCTCCCCAGCCCATGGATAATCTTAAGTAAATTTTTTTTCTTAATATTTTATGTATTTAGTATAGGGTCTACATGGTCTCACTACACAGATCAGACTCATTGTGATCCTCCTGTTTTTCAGCCTCCCAAGCACTGGGATTACAGGCACATGCCACCATGCCCAGTCTTAATTGCTGTCTCACTGAGCCGCCCCCCACAGGGATGCTTGGCAGGCCGGGGATCTACTTCGAATTTTTTTGTATTATTTTGAATATAAGGTGTTTTTTCATGTTAACAATACACTTAATGACTACATAAATATGCCACTTAAAAATAATGAATGCCGTAATTTTTCTCAGTACTCTGCGGTGAATGTTTATATTATTTCTAATCCTCTGGTACTATTTACATTAGCTCTGATGAAGGCCTCTGTATGCTTGGAACTGTCCTACATCCTTAGACCTGAAGCCTAGGGTAAAAGGGCAGGGAAAACCATTGCATATTTTAGAACACAATCTCCAACTGTCCTCCAGTTAGCCCATTACCTAGGTTCCTACCCAAAGTACACAAGAGCCTGCTTTCCCACAGCCTCCGTGAGGAGGCTGAGCAAGACTCCTGCTTACAAACAGAAAAACCCAAGAAAACCAAAAATCCTCTGGAGTTAAAAAGTCAATAATAAACACATTCGGGTTTAGGAAATCTTGAACTCAGGGCATCTCTTAATGGATTAAAAGCACAAACTAAGTAATACACATAGGACAAAACTTCTCCAAATGTTTTGACTGGAGGGTAGATTCTAGTGACATATTTAATGGTGAAACAAACAAACAAAAATCTCAGAGGGAAAGACTCAAGGATCACCATAAATATTTTTCTTAGCGTGGCCAGTGATTTCCCAAACAGAAAAGCAATTCTCAAACTATGGGCCTGATCAAAACTATACATCTCTTGGGGCTGGTGAGATGGCTCAGTGGTCTAAAGCACCTACTTAGAACAAGTTTAGTAAAGCACAGGGACTGCGGTTCTAATCCCCCTAGCACCACATGCCAGCCCCACCCCCTGGTGGGCTGAGCTGGTCACACACACACACACACACACACACACACACACACACACACAAATAAAAAAAAATTAATAAAAAATAGTAAAAAAAAATATACATCTCATATTAAATTAGTTCTCTTTCACAAATCTATATTTGGTCTGTGAACACTAGCAACTATAAGGGCCAGGCTGGCAGAGCAGAAACTAAACAGAAAAGAACTGCTCAACTAATTTAAACAGAGGAGAAAACTGGCCGCTGTGGTTCTGTGATGTTTGTGTTGAAGGCATCATGAAGCAGCTCCTTCTCTCCTTTCCTTGGTGTGTCAGAGGCTGTAGCACAACTACCGATACAGACTTGTTGACAGCCCACGGTGCGGCTTGTCTTAAGGAAGTCTCTTACACAGAAACCATTTCTAAGATGGGCAGGCCAATTTAGATTTTTTTTTTTTACGGTATTGTGGCAGGGTCTCACCGCGAAGCTTGGACTCTTAGTGATCCTCCTGTTTTTAGCCTCCCCAGCGCTACGATCACCATGTGAGCCACCACGCCATGTGGGGGCGAGAGTCGAACCCCACGCAGTCCCTGCACTTGCCTATGCAGGCACTTAGTCCCTCAGCTATCTCCAGGCCCACAATTAAACAACCTTGATTCTCTAGGGACATCTGTGCTTTGAACTGTTCTATCTCTCACTTACTTTTGCTACTAGTACTGTTCAGGCCTACTTCCCAGTGTTATAGTTCAATGTCCAAATAGCTCAGAAGACATCTTGTAATAGCTGAAAATTCAAACACATCAAAAGGCCAGAGAACATACCCTATTATTGCCTCCCCTTATTCTATGTTGGACTCTACTACGCTTATATTCCCTGTTAGAATCAGGCTTTTCATAGTGTCTAACTACATTCGTAGTTCCATCAAGTTTGCCCACAGATAGTAAAACGTAAAACAACAAAAAAAAGGGTCATTTAAGAAAAAATTCTTATAAAAAGCAGATGACCTCTAGGCTACTGGAGCCTAATTCTGTCACCAGTAATCAAAGTGCACATTACAATATCATTCTTACTTTAAAGGATTCCCACTGAGGGCCAGGAATATAGCTCAGTGGTACAGCGCCTGCCTGGCAAGGGCAAGACCCTGACTTTGATTCCTGCTACAAAACAAAAACAAAAACAAAAAATCCCTACTGGCATAAAAGGAGGAGGAAGGGAAGGAGAAACAGCGGCTTACCAGCAGGTCTTGGTCCATAGTCCCTGCCCTGTCCTCCTTCAGAACGACACTGGAAAGGTGCTGCTCACAGCTGGACAACACGTCCCCACACACCTGCCTCAGGCGCTCCTGTAGGGAGTAACGGATCAGCGCTGTGCCACATACCGCCCCTGCTCTCAGGACTTCCGGGAGCGTCACAGTCACGGAAGCACCAGCCGTCACGCTTGCCTAACAGCACAGTGACAGACTGATAGCAAGCTGGCCACGAGAGCTGGCTGGGGGAGTTTTCAGAGCAGAGTGTGTATGCCACCTTTCTTTCTACATTGGCCTACTAGAGCAAAAGGCAAATATTTAGGAAGATTGAGCGCCCTGATTTATTTATAAGGTCTGGGTCACGGAGGTGCTGCTCCAACAGTAGAGAAAAGTTGCATTATGGAGATGGTAAATTAACTAGATTTGAATTTAGCAAGGCAGCCTGTCCAAACACAGTACGTAATTCTTCCCTCCTCCACACTACGCCCTCCCCGAGGCCTGCAGCTCCAACTTACACCAACTTACTGGAACCCTCATCTAATTATTCTTGTTTAGACAAACTCCATTTTATCAACACTTCTCCCAAAGGTTGTCACTGAAATTGAGTTATATGTTTCATAATAAAAATATACAGTGAATATTTAAACTTCAAAAACATTCATTACAGAAGACACACTGTCAACAAGCCCCTTCAAAACACTGCCTCCCCCTCATTGCCAACACCCTCATCCCCGGGTTCTGCCACATTCGGAAGCAAGCGTGCAAGTCCTTGGTGTCAGTCACTGCTGTTGCTGCGTGCCACCCAGCAAAAGGCGTGTTCCTACGGCTATCCTGCGGAACCTCCACCTCCTGCCTGGGCCTGGCCTCTTGCGCCCTCTGGCTCCTCCCCAAAGTCAAAGTGTCTATGAGAGAATCAATTTGAATCAATCATTTTGAATCAACTGAGGACATCATGGCCATGACGGTGCAGCTAAAAACAGTCGCTGAAAAGGACTTTTAGGACCGCTTCACAGGACAGGAAGAACGATGGGATAAATAAGTCTGCCTGAAGGGATAGGAAGTATTTCCAGGGGATGAACGGCAATGTATCTTTTACTGTACCACATTTTTCAAAATTCAAAGAATTATTTAAGCCACATTTTATGGGAAATGTCAACTCAGATCTAACCAGGAACAAGAACAGGACCGTCACCCGTCTTATTCTGGACATAGGAGCATGCACACAGGGCAGCCAAGCGGCCCCGAGTTCAATCCAAGGCACACTTCTCACCTGCACTGCGCTGCTGAGCTGAATCTTGATCATCCATTCTTTGGGTGATTACTTATTTTCGGTAAAATGCCGAATGCTCATTTATACAGAAAAGATGACAAGCAGCTCAGGGGAAGCAAGCGAGTCATGGGGACCCGAAGCATTCTATGGTTCTGAAAACTGCAGGGCCTTGCCCACTGCCCACGGCGGCGGCACCGGCAGACGAGAAGCCAGCCACATTCCCAACATTTTAGTTTTCAGTTTTATCCTTCGCCTACCTCTCAGTTTCCAAATCCAAAGGCAGCGCGACCTACACTTCCAACAACTGCTGGCCCTCGGCAGGCAGCAGGTGCTCTGCGGCCATGCAGCCCCCATACACAGAGCTCTTTCTCCAGCCCACCCTGGTAAGAAGGTAAGTTGTGTGCCACTCTCCCTCGCAGGACTAGACTTTAAAATCTGCCTCAAATTTTCCTTACATCATTCTTCCCTTGTTCATGCTAGACTTCCATAATAACCAGCTATTTTTTATTGTTTGGTGCTATTCAAAATGCCCCTTCAAAGGCTTCTTATGTAAAAGCTTTTCAACAATTTCTGCGGTCATGAGAAAAACATCAGGGCAACAGGAAGCCAAGTATCCTTTACTGCTGTAAGTGCCGAAGGCACGTGTACGAGAACACCGGGTGAGGGGTGCAAGCATTTTTGTATAGGTGCATTCCTACCTCTCTTAAGTCATAAGCAAAAAACTTACAATACATTACTATATTCGATCTGTTATTTTAAGTGGAAAATAGAACATACAGAGGAAGGTCTTTCTTGAAGGAACTATTCAAGAAAAAGCACAGAAAAGTACTAAGTACTTCACTAGGTAATCTTTATTTTAATTCTGGAAAACTTAAATACACTATAACAATTATTTAAACTAATCTGTGACTTCTGTAATCCTTATTAAAACTAAAATTAAGAAGCCCAAAGTCTTTGATTTTTCCCATTATGAGTAGCACTGTCTAGGGGTATATCTCATGATAAAAACAGAAGACATGCTGATACAGTGATGCACGACAAGGACGAGTACGGACACCTGCAGGGATCAAAGCACCTCTCTGCCTCACGTCATCACTCACTTGGACATGTGACTATGAAAATGTTAGCGACAGACTGTGGGTAACGTGGACACACGATACCAGCAAGAGACCTGAGCAGTGTAACTTCATGATAACAGGACAAGTGCTTTCCGGATTATGCCCTATCAAAAGGTTAAAAACCTTCTGATCTGGAGAGAAATGCCCGAGTAGATAGAAAATTATCTGTTAAGTGCTTCTTGGAATGATGGTACAGGATATGATTTATCAAAAGATACCTCCCAGGATTCTCACCAGGAGATAAATGTCAACCAACAGGCATACCTTACTAAAAGACACTTGTACCTGGAGCCAAGCTGGGGACATCAAGGGCACCTAGGTCAGAACCAGTCAACTCCTCTTTGGCCCTGTGAGTTGCTAGACACGAAGCCCTGCCCTGTTGTAGCAGTAGCCACTGGGGACTATACACCCCTACTCCCCTCAAACTTCGAAGCTAGGTAACAAGCCCAAGTAGAAATACAAGTACAAGTAAGTTAGAACATCAGGAGAATTGTGGCCATACCTGTTCTTCCATTGGTGTTTTTGCGGATGCTCTACAAAGACTTTGCAAAGTATCAACAGCGGAACTGATCAACCCTAGAGACCACTGAAATCCATTCAGCTTACACTTGACAACATCTGAGAAGGAAGTCAAAACCTTTTAAGTATATATGTATTTGTAAACACATATTGTACGTATATGTACATACTCTGAAGCCAGTGACATTTGCACAAACATTCTTCGACAAGCACTCACCTGTCACCCTGTCACGGGTGCTCTCAGGAAGATGCTTCGCAATATGCCCAATGACACACAGTATGTGTCCTAAGGTGTTTGAATTGGGATTCTGCTGACTGAAGAGGGGGCAAGAGAAATGCCGAAACAGAATCTCATTAAACATCAGCCTGACAACAAAAGGACTTTTCTTCTAGACTGTTAGTACTGGAGGGAACAGGACAGGCAGGATGATTTGTCATGCTGTACGAACACTAAGGGATCTCATGGACAAAGGGCACACTGATCATGCTTACAAGCGATTCTTACTTTTTATATTTGTTTTTATACCAGAATTTAAAGGAACCACCTCTGCATATGGCTATGAAGTGAAACAGTCCCCTTCCTTAAGCCACAAGCTCTGTTTCCAACCTGTAGGTCCACCAGTGGGCTGTGTTACGAGTGTGCGAACCTGCTGATTTTCTCCCAGGACTGCATGATTTGGGTAGAGTCCAGCGTGGGTGACGAGCCGGCAATCTTGGAGAGTAGCATCCAGGCGGGTGCAGAGTGTTCCGTGCCAGTGTGAGAGATCACATTGTTTATAAAAGTGGATGAGAATTTATCTTTCTTGGACCAGATAGGAAAAGCCTTATTTAGATAGCGGCTGGGAAAAAAGATGGGAAAGAAGAACTGTAACTATAAATACACAAGCTGTTCAAGCCAGACCCCAGCTGAGAGGGCATCAAGTTCTGTAGCTCCAGCTTTTGCTGGTGCAAAAACATGCACTCACAAGGCCTGACACCAAACGAGGTGTCATTTAAATTTTTCTTATAGTTTTTATTTTCCCCTTACAAAATACTTATTTTTTAGGGCCAGGGTATAGTTCAGTTATGTGGCATCTGCCTAGCAAGTGTGAGGTCCTGAGTTCGATTTCCAGCACCATCCCAAAAGTAAAAAATACTTATTTTTTTAACACAAAAAAATAAAATTTAATTCATTTGAGTATCTTCTTTTTAAAATATTTTTTATTTATTTATTTGGTATAGGGTCTCGCTATGCAGCTTGAACTCATAGTGATCCTTCTATCTTAGCCTCCCCAGCACTGGACTTACAGGTATGTGCCACCACACCCTGGCATCCGGGGCCGGCTTGCATTGGTACCAGGGATGGAACCAGGTCCCTGTGCTTGCCAGGCAGGCACTTAGACCGCCAAGCTACTCCCCAGCCCTGAGTATCTTTCTATTTTCATCCCCTCTACACAAATATATCGTATGGTTAATATAACACGGTCCTAGACCCTACTGGGTCGTGAGTGTTAAAAAACAGGAACACTGTCCTTCCAGTCGAGATTAGGGAGAAATGACATCCTAGCATTTAAATATGGTGAAAGTAAATGAGCTAAAATTTGCTATATCCTATTAATGCTGCTCAGGAACAGATTGTCAAACCTTTTAAAATTAAAATTTTACATGTTCTGATATGCACTATACTGTTCTTAAAACTTTCTTTTCATAGCAATGAATTAAACTATATAAATAACAAGCTAATGCCATGTTGTATATTAAAGAGAAAAATACATTTTTCCACCCATAAATTTTTCTTACACTGCCAGGAACACATGCATGCCCGCACACTCCCACACACATGCAGACTTTTTTACTAAGTATTTTAAGAAAGAAAAAATTCAGAGCATGCAGAGCAAGACAACTGTAACAAAATAAAGACATCCATACCCTGATAATCACATGTACATAAGTGGCTTTATTATTAAATTAGGTGTTGACTAAAAATCCACCCACATGTCAAGCTTTACCATAATTTGCTCACAATATGATTGTACCTGTCTTATGTCCCAATACAAGGTAATACAATAAGCAGATATTTTAAATTTTATGTTCAAAAAGCCATATAAAATCTTAAGCGAGGGGCTGGGGAGATGGCTCAGTGCAATAAGCGCTTCCCTGGCAAGCGCAAGGGCCTGAGTTCAATCCCTGGTTCTGCAAAATAAATAAATAAATAAATAAATAAATAAAATCTTAAGCGAGGCTTATAAGACAAATTGGGGAACTGGCACAAAATGTCTTTGGAGTTCTTGTCTCCAAGCCTCTGACGGCCTCCTCACAGTCACCACCCTGCATGGCTGGAGCACTCCTGGCCAGCCCTCCTCAGTGAGCCCGCTGCGTCACAGCTCTTCTCCACGTCCCCAGAAGGACACCCAGACACACTAGCCCAGCCCACCGGGAGCTGGTCTTCAGTCCCCATTTGTCTGGCCTCCCGGGGATGGGTGTCTCGCTGCTGTCCCTAGACTCTGCCTGCCTGTGGGCTCCCTTTCCTCTCCTTCCTCTGACCCTTCTAACTGCGCCGCGCCACGCTGGGTGTGGGGGCTGAACCCAGGGCCTGTGCCTGAGCCACATGCCTGGCTCCTACCTGTGTTAGCTGCTGGCTTTGAAAAGCTCTACAACTGCATCCCGTACCTGTAAACTGAGTCTGGGCCATTTCATTCATTACAAAGAGCTGCCCCTGCCAGGCGACCAGGCAGCCGGAACCAGACCCATCTGCAGCCCCCTTAGGTCCCCACCTGCCGAGCCTGCCTTTCCAAGCCCCAGTCAATGTAAGCGAAAGGCCTCCAGGCCGCCGCACGGCCACCTGCAGCCTCAGATGCTCTCACTCTGACGGCTGCCTGGCTGGTGCCTGATTCCCAGTCCCAATACTCAGCTCCCGCCCTCCTTCTGGAAAGCCGCTTGCTAGGGTTCGGAGTGGTCTGCTGTCCTCCAAGGTTTGTGTGCAGGAAGCGTGGCCCTGAAGGGCAGTGCTGAAGATGGCAGAAGCTCTCAAGAGCTGGGGTCTGGGGGAAGGTAGAGGTCAGGGTACCACCCTCAGAAGGGCCTCCTGGAGTCAGTTCTCATGACAGCAACTTGTCTCAGAGTCTCTAGCTTCCTGTCCCCACGTGGTGCTGTTTCCAGTGCCTAGCCACTCTCAGGCCCTCATCGGAGGCTGGCCTGACCAGGCATCCCGCTATTGGACTAAGAGCTTCCAAAGCCATGAGCTGAATGAACCTCATTTCTTCATAAGGTATTCTGCCCAAATGTTTTGTTACAGCAAGAGCAAATTGGACTTGGACTTCATCCTAAACTTGGGAGGAAGGAGGGGTAGAAGAAAGAAGTAACAGCCACCAAAATGTGCTCCTGTCACTCTTCAGCATCTTACTGTATCAATCTCCACTACACTGAGCGCAACGGAGTGGAACAAAGGCCCACATGCTGCAGCGTCAGCAGAACAGGAGGTGCTTCGGCTACGGCTACCTACCGCTCCTCTCCCAAAGCCTTCCGACGCAGGTGCAGGCCACCGATGCTACCCGCCCACTTGGCAGACAGCTCCAAGGATGCCTGTGTGCCGAGCCCCATCGTCTCCACGTCACTTCAAGCCCTCGCTATCTGACTTCAACTACTGTACCGGCTGCCCGTGTTCCCAGACTCCAGTTCTACCCTCCTGGTCACCACACACAGGCCTACTCTCCTGACTCCTCAAGTAAAAATCTGGACTTTCTCCTGTAGGTCCACCAGCAGCCTCCCTGTGGCACCCTGCCTGTAAAACTCCAACTTGCTGGCATGCCACACTGCAGTCCTACACAGGCAGCGCCACCCCAGCCACGGCTGCCACGCAGCGCCCACATGACACGCTTCACTGTTGCGTCCTGGTCTGTCTCCTCCACGCGTTGCTCTGCTCCTTAGGAGCTCAGAAGATTAATTCAAAGGTCACCTATTCTGTGCAGTTCTCTCCACGAACACTTTTTGATGTTCTTGTAACCCTTCTTAAAAAAGCTTAACATCTAGTCTACAAATGTTGATGAAACTCTTTATTCTATCTCACTGAGCTCAGTTGTACTTTTAAAACCTGACTTCCTACTTCAGCGTGTCTTACATCTTTTTCCTGTCAGGCCTTCTTTTAATTCCTTTCCTTCGTTCACTTGTGTGGAAATGCTAGGCAAGCATTCTACCCCAAAGCTATATCCCTAACACAGAATCGCACTGAAGTTTTCAAAATTACTGACCACACCAGTGAAACTTTGGTTTTATGGATTAAATCTAGCAAAGTTCGCTATGTTTGAAATTTAAATCAAAGAACACTTGATTTAAAAATACTTATCATTTAATCCACTTAAATACAACAACAAATATTTTAACCATAAATAGCAATTTTACCAAAAATAACATCTTTTCCACAACATACTTTGCAAGAAGAATGTTGTATACGTTTGTCGCTCTCTCAGACCTAGGAGAGTCAGAAGGTGGGGGATTCTCAGACCTGTTCCTGTACTCAGCCTCTTCTAATATCCTGGGGCTCTTGGAAAACCCCAGTGTGCTGCCACAGAAGAATCGGAGTGCCAAGTGGCTAACCACATCTACCAAGTTAGACTTCACGAGCCCAGGAATACTGCCCTCGCCTCGGCCCTGCAACGGCCATCCCAAGTCTTCTTGGCACTCTTGGCCCCGACTGCTGCTGGACTTTGGGTAAGTGACCTTTAAGCTTACTTTAAAGAGGAAAGAAAAACTAGCAAGCTCTAGTTCTTGTACTATTAATTCTTCTGTGCTTTTCTAATTTGCCTTTGAATTCTTTTATCTTTGATGTTCCTTTGCCCTAGTTTTAAAGGAAAATGCTTTATGTGTTACTCGTTTTCAGAACTTTCTTTATTAAATAACACCCATCTTTTACTCATCCATGAGTGGCTTACCCTATCTGAAAGGGGAGAGGGGAGGCCTGTGGAGGATGATGCTCCTAAAACGTCAAGTGCACCTTAACTCCAGGTGTTAATACGTGTTACAGGTTGAGGGGCTGCGGGAATGCCACAGGTACATACAGGAAAGGGTGAGGAAGAGCACACAGGGCAGGAAAGGCCGAAAGGACATGTTAAGGAGAGAGGGAGCCACGCTCGACACACGGCTGCACAAGAGGGAGCCAGGGTGCAGGGAGCAGGCTGCAGCTGCTGGCACAGAATGCACATAGGGAAACAGAGGCAAAGACGGGGAGACAGACAGGGAGCGCCTCAGGGAGCTTCCTGAAGCCACTGTGGTAAGGAAGGCCACTGGGTACAGGGGAGCCGGACAGGACTGAGGAGAGCCTGGGGCTGCCAGGTGGGGACAAGGAGAAGGGGACATATTTCCATGACAGACAACACTGAGTTGTGTTTTACCTGGATGTACTCTGCCAGGCTTTCAAAATTCCTACTCTAACCAAGTAAATAAAACTCTCCCTTCTCTCAAATTCTCAACAATACTTTTAGAGTACAAAATGCCAAGTCTCCCACTCTGTCAAATTTAAATGTATTGTTTTAATTTCAACTTCTTTGGCTACTAGAGAGGCTTAGTATCATATTCAGTGTGGGTTTTGTTTACTGTTCATTTCTGTTCTAGGCTCACAAACTGCTTTTCATGTGATCAATTTTTCTCTTAAGTTCATCTTTTATGGACTTATGAAAGGATAGTACAAGGTGCAATAAAATATACAGTGAAAAAACTTATTACAATAAGACGCATGCCACCAGCTCCTTTGGCCACACGCCCCCTGCCCAAGCGCCCTTGTCTCGCCACTCCTCCGCGGGCCAGCAGGCACCAGCTCCTTTGGCCACACGCCCCCTGCCCAAGCGCCCTTGTCTCGCCACTCCCCCGCGG